TGTAACGTGACGTCCCCCCGCCATCTATCACTTCTGTTGTTACGACCGTAAAGAAACTAAAATTGTTTGATGCCCAATGATTTATAACGCCAACTTCACTCTCTTAGCTTTGGCAATTTCTAGTTGCCAGCGGGGCTCAGGCCTCATGCTTTCGCAATTTTCACAGAAATTCTGTGATCAAGGGATAAATGTTCTTAATTCCATTTTTTGGCGAAATTGGGTAATTTTTGGGGAATTTTAGGAAATTTTTGGTGACCTATATTTTATTTTAGAAACACGACTGAATTTATGTTGCCTCCTTAATGACAAAAACGCGTTGGCAAATATAGCGTAATCGGTTTCATATAGCTTACGGCTGAATAATCCAACCTTTGTTTTCTCCAAACTAAGATTTTTGACTTAAGAAATTTTACCCCATAACCACAGAATTCTGGTGGTTGTATATGATAACCTAAGCCTGAGACGCTTCCACTAGCGCCACAACTTGGCGCCACAGTATATACTCCGTGGAAGTACAAATCTAATGTGCCTGCGATGACAGAAGTGGTAGATGTTGGTGGAATGGCCAATGGTGGGACCTAATTTCCTTCAAATTTGAAATAAAGGTAAGGAAAGGTAATACGCGACCCGCCAGCCACCACCGCTTCAAGCTCAATTATTGTCTGGTAGCGCTCTGATGGAAGCACGCAATTAGTGTGCCGTTTTCTCTTCTCTCGTAAAATTGCCAGACATTTTAATAGTCGTAAGTAGACATTTTTAACCATGATTGAGTCTTGTCTCACTACCTGCCCCCTGTTGTGGAAATTACCTGAGTCAGGCTGGAGCGTCATTGTCACCAGTTAGCCCACTCTCACCGGATCACTTAAGAAGAGACGATCAAAGAATGAAGAACATTACTACTACCTTGCAGATTCCCAGAGAGACGGTCAAGTCAAGATACCCGTCTTCAAAGCATCTTACTGAATAAATCACCACATCCATTACTAATGTACGAAAATAAGAATTTGGTTCCATTGGAAAGAATTCTATTAAACCCAGGGAAGTATAATGGAAACAACAGAAATTAGGTGTCTTGGAAATGTTAATATTGCTTCATAATTCCTCCAAGATTCCAAATCAGTGTTGAGAACAGAACTGAACTTTTGTAACTTCTGAGAAAGAATGCTTGCTTGCTAGAGAAAATGAAACTTTCTTACTTCAACTGCACCCACTTCCTCGCAATATGTGTAACTACGCAATATTACATTATTTGAACCTGTAAAAGTGTTACCAACCAGCAATTTTTTCACTCTTGGTTTCGAACTCAGGTTAGGTTTAGCACGCCCATCACGTCATTCCTACACCAACTGCCTTTCCGGTCAACTTGGCCTTCCCAATGCTTTGAAAACAGATTAACATTTTCATTTGTAGTTTTCAGAAATCCAGAGAATTTCTTCTTCTTCTTCCTCTTCTTCTTCTTCCTGTGCTTCTTCTCCTACTAACAAAGATTAGGCGTTAACCTGTTCCGGTGTCCACTTCTTCTTTGACCTACCTACATGTCTTCTTCATTGTGGAATATATTGAAGAGGCAATGCCAGCAATCTCTAATTTGGCATCCTTCCCAAATGTTCGCACCATTTCTTCTTATTAGTACGAATTTTATTTCACACTAGCGTGACATTTAGCTCATCTCTTACAACCACATTCTTCTTTTTCTCTAGGAGGGTGTATCCTAGAGTAGGTCTTAAAATTTTTCTTTCCGCCGCCTGAGTTCTACTTTTATCTTTTTCCAAGACGACTTTTGATTTATTTCCACACAAAAGTCCACAAAAACTTTATACGTGTAACTTTACGAGTTTTATTTTTTAAATTACTGT